AGCTAGTATGCTTGTTCTGTCTCTCCACGCGATGCCCTCCTGTGTGTAATGATGTAGCAAGAAGCCTACAAGATGCTGAGAGCTCTGCTGTGGCCCGGGAGTGCAGTGGAGGATGGCCCAAGTGCTTGGGCCCTGCACCCCATGGGAGACCAGGAGAAGCACCTGGCTCCTGGCTTCGGATCAGCTCGGTGCACTGTGCAGCTCGCCGGCCGCAGCGGCCAATGGAGGGTGAACCAATGGTAAAGGAAGACCTTTCTCTCTGTCTCTCTCTCACACTGTCCACTCTACCTGTCAAAAAAAAAAAAAAAAAAAAAAAAGATGCTGAGACCCAGATACCCGTGGGCTTCCCAGCCTCCAGAAGGGTGAGCCAATACAGTTCTATTTTTTTATAAATCACCTGTTTCAGGTAGTTTGTTATGGAAACAGAACACACTAACTCACCAGAGTACTGAAGTAATAGGATTGGCCTACCGTAGGTTATTATAAGCTTACCCTGTGACACAGAGATAAGAGCAGTTCTCCGAAGGAAGTAGGAGTGTTGATAAAACAAAAATAAAGATGTTATCTTGAGTAGAATGAGTCAGTAAGGCAGACAGCCTAAAATAGCAGGCAATAGAATCTGAACTCCTGGACTATGAGGCCATTCAAAGTTCTGCAAAAATCAAGTGGCTGTGGATCAAGCTTGGACTAGATCATCTAAGTTGCTTTCCATTATGACTATTCAAAGGGAGGACTTCCTGAATATCAATGTATTAAATGATTTGAAAGATGGCAGTCTTAATGTAAACTGAAGACTCTGTGAGATAACATCGTGTCTGTGCAGATTAATGGATTGTAACACACATGCCACTGAGGTGTAGGATGTTGGAAGAAATGGAGGCTGTGTATTTGTGGGGGGAACTCTACTTTCTGCCAATTTGGCTGAACTTAAAACTGCTCTTAAGAATATGTTTTATTTTGGGGGGTGGCACTGTGGCTTGGTGGGTTAAAGCCCCCACTTGCAGTGCCCCCATCCCACATGGGCGCCAGTTTGAGTCCAAGATGCTCCACTTCTAATCCAGCTCCCTGCTAAAGTGCCTGGGAAAGCAGTAGAAGATGGCCCAAGTCTTTAGGTCCCTGCACTCATGTGGGAGACCCAGAGAAGCTCCTGTCTCCTGGCTTCGGATCAGCTCAGCTCCAGTCATTGTGGCCATTTGGGGAATGAACCAGCAGATGGAAGACCTCTCTCTCACTCTCTCTGCCTCTCCCTGTAACTGTCTTTCAAATGAACAAAATAAATCTTTAAAAAAAATCTGTTTTTTACAAAAAGATGGGGCTGCTGTTAGCAGACAACTTTTTAAATGGAGACATGAACTTAAATATTTTAAATTCAGAGGAGTAAAATTTCCCAGTTGACAAATCAGCAGCTACACAGTTGAGATTTTTTTTTTAAACAAAAGATTTATGTATTTATTTGAAAGGCAGAGTTACAGAGAGAGGGAAAGGCAGAGAGAGAGAGGTCTTTTATCCACTGGGTCACTTCCCAAATGGCCACAAAGGCCAGAGCTGGGCCAGGCTGAAGCCAGGAGCCAGGATCTTCTTCCATGGCTCCCATGTGGGTACAGGGGCCCAAGCAGTTAGGCCATCTTCCACTGCTTTCCCAGGCCATCAGCAGGGAGCTGGATCACAAGTGGAGCATCCAGGATTTGAACCGGTGTCCATAAGGGATGCTAGCACTGCAGGCAGAGACTAAGCATACTTTGCCACAGCCCCAGCCTCTAAGATTGTTCTTGGCCCTACACTTTGCCTTCCTCTTCTGGGATCAGCCCTTTGATTCTTTTTTTTTAAGATTTATTTTTTATTTATATGAAAGGCAGAATGAGAGAGAGAGAGAGAGAGAGGGAGAGACAGAGAGACAGAGAGATCTTCCACCCACTGGTTCACTCCCTAAATGACCGCAATGGTCGGGACTGGGCCAGGCTGAAACCAGGAGGCAGGAGCTTCTTCCGGATCTCCTGTGCGGTGCAGGGGCCCAAGCATTTGGGCCATCCTTTGCTGCTTTCCCACATGTATTAACATAGAGCTACATAAAAGTGGGGCAGCTGGGACTTGAAACAACACTCACATGGGACACTGGCATTGCAGGCAGTAGCTTTACCTGCTATGCCACAACACGGGCCCCCAGCCCTTTAATTCTGATGCTGGAAATCTGTATCAGTGACAGTGAGCAAATTTTATAAACATGGATTTTTAAAATGCATTTCATTTGCTAAACTGTGCATTTAATGCACAATGGAAAACAGTGACAAAGCAGGCCAGGCTCTTGGACTTCATAGACCGGTATAGTTTTGCTAAAGGAGTGACTCAAAGATAAACTGCATGGGGGTCATTTTGAGACACTTGTTATCATCACAGAATTCGGGGTCATTGGTAGACTTTTGGAATAAAAATCAAGTGACCCAGGAACCTTGACATTAGAAATGCAGCAGCATCTGGAAGCTCATCAAAGGTGCTTGGCCCCTTCTCCGACCTGCTGAATCAGAATCTGCATTTTAACAGGAGCACTAAAGTCTGACAAGCATCCTCCCAGAAAATTCTGTTGCGTGTTAAGTTTTGAGAACTACTACTCTAACAGGAGATTGATGAGTGTCTAGAGGAAGCAGCACAAAGTAATTGAATCCATTCATAGAGGAACACATGAGTTCCTCCAGGAGTGCACCAAAAGAGCAGGGTCCCTTGTCAGGGCGGTTTCCAGAAACAGTGTGATGTCACCTTTTTCTTAAGAGCAAAGAGAGGTGCCGGTGCTGTGGCACAGCAGATAAAGGCACTGCCTGCAGGACCGGCATCCCATATGGGTGCAGGTTTCCGAATGCTCCACTTCTGATCCAGCTCTCTGGTATGTCCTGGGAAAGCAGAAGAAGATGGCCCAAGTTCTTGGATTTCTGTGCCCATGTGGGAGACCCGGAAGAAGCTCCTGGTTCCTGGCTTCAGATTGGCCCAACTCCAGCTGTTGCAGCCATTTGGGGAGTGAACTAATGGATGGAAGACCTCTCTCTCTATGCCTCTGCCTTTCTGTAACTCAGCCTTTCAAATAAATAAATAAATCTTAAAAAGCAAAAAAGAGCAAGGAGAAGGGATTTGGCATTGTGGCGTACAGGTAAAGCCACAGTTTCTGATGCCGGCATCCCATATGGGCGTGGTCTGTGCCCCAGCTGCTGCACTTCTGATCCAGCTCCCTGATAACGGCCTGGGAAAACAGCGGAGGATGGCCCAAGTGCTTGGGCTCCTGCACCCATGTAGGACACTCGGATGAAGATTCTGGCTCCTGAGTTTGGCCAGGCCCAGCCCCAGTCCTTATGATCAATTGGGGAATGAACCAGCAGATGGAAGATCTCTCTCTGTCTCTATCTCTGTCTCTCTCTTTCTCTGTATTTCTGACTTTCAAATAAATAAAAATCTTAAAAAAAAAAAAAAAAAAAAGAGTGAGAAGTTAGCCAGGCTGAGGTTGGGGTAGGGGAGAGACATCTCATCAGAGGGAACCGCATACACGAAGTCCTGAGACAAAAGAGAACATTGCAAGTTTAGGCAACAAAAATACGTACCTCAAATTGCATGTTTTTTAAGGGGGCTAATTCTGTGGTTTAGCTGGTTAAGCCTGTGCCATCAGCATCCCATATGGGTACTGGTTCGAGTCCCTGCTGCTCCATTTCTGACCCGGCTCCCTGCTAACACACATGGGAAAGCAGCAGAGGATGGCCCAAGTGCTTGGGCTCCTGCACCCATGTGGGAGACCCAGAAGAAGCTCCTGGCTCCTGGCTTTGGCTTGGCCCAGCTCTTGCCATTGTGGCCATTTGGGGAGGTAGACAGTAGATGGAAGACTTCTCTGTCTTTCAAATAAATAAGTAAATTTTTTTTTTTTGACAGGCAGAGTGGACAGTGAGAGAGAGATACAGAGAGAAAAGTCTTCCTTTTTCGTTGGTTCACCCCCCCCAATGGCTGCTGAGGCCGGCGCATTGCGGCCAGCGCACCGCGCTGATCCGAAGTCAGGAGCAAAGTGCTTCTCCTGGCCTCCCATGCGGGTGCAGGGCCCAAGGACTTGGGCCATCCTCCACTGCACTCCCTGGCCACAGCAGAGAGCCAGACTGGAAGAGGAGCAACCGGGACAGAATCCGGCGCCCCGACCGGGACTAGAATCCGGTGTGCTGGTGCTGCAGGCGGAGGATTAGCCTATTGAGCCGCAGTGCCAGCCAGTAAATCTTGAAAAAAAATTTTTTTTTTTTAGCATCAACCAAAGAAAATTAAACAAAAACCTCAATGGTTTGCTTGTCGATCTTTGGGAGAGGAAAGAATCAGATTTTTAGATTTGTATGATGCTGCCTTCCATAGTTTCCTTTTGCATCCTTCATTCAATCTTTCACTCCTAGACACTGGGCCTGTGCTAAGTGCCTCCGGGTGTGCTGATGAGCAAAACTGAAATAGTCCTGTCCTCAGGGAATTTACAGATGAGGTTGGGGGGAGGCAGGAAAGCAAATAAAACAGATAAATAAAGGTGTAATTATAAACTGAGAAGATGGCGGAGAAGGCTACCATCATGGAGAATAAGTCGAGAAACTGCGAGAAGGGTCTGTCAGCCAGGCCAGTGTATCCTTGTAAACGTGGTGGGGTCCACGGTGTGGGTAGGAGACCTTCCCTCCAAACCACCCCTTCCCAACCCGCTGGCTGCAACAGAAAAGGGCAGTGAAAACTGACTCCAAACTTGAAACGGGAGACAACCTCCATGTTCCAGCAGTCCTACTTCCAGAAAGAACCTGTCCCTGAGCAACCCTTTCAGGTAGGGCCACTCCTAGGAATCGGCCCGGTCTTAACACATTCCAAGTGTAATTTTTCGGATGCAAACTCCACTTTGGCGTTGGGAGGGGCGGTAAGAGACGGCGGCACGCGCCATTGCTTTCACTATGTGAGGGATGAGAGACTGTGCAGAAGCATTCGAAGCCTTCAGGAGGCCTGCCGGGTGCGGTCAGGCTCTGCCTGGCCCCTCAATCCCTGCAGTCCCAAAGACGCGTTCTCACCGCCTGGAACCTTGTGTGCCTGGGTCTGGCTGCCGGCCTGCCCGGGGGAAGCATTTGAGAGTGGGACCGCGAGAAGCCGCTTGTAAACAGAGAGCGGGGCCGGGATGGTCAGCGGACGGGCGTGCTGTCAGCGCGAGGCCGGCACGCTTGCCCACGCCGAGCTCCGGCCGGGAGTAGACTGCGGGCCTCGCAGGTGAAGGGGGCGAGCCGCCGGTGAGCATCTGCGGGCTGCGGTCCGCCGGGCCGGCCCGTGGGGGCGGGGAGCGGGTGGGGATGACAGCGTTGTGAATACCCGAGGAGCTTCCTGGGCTGGCGGTGATGGTGCTGTTTCTTCCAAGCGCTGGGGGCTGGACTACCCTGCCGCGGATAATGGGTGAGGGGGGGTGACATGATGCATCGCCTGCTTATTTTTCCGAATCAAGTGTATAATGCGAGTGGAAGGTAGTTGAAATGGGCGATCCTGTTCTGTGTGTTGTTAGTACCTCAGCAGAGCTTTTAGCCTACATGAAGCCGGGCTCCCCAGAGAAACAGAACGATTCTTCTTTCTGTGGACTCTGCCCATGTTTAATGTATAGTAAATGACATCACGTGACTGATGACAGGGATGGTTTGGTGGAAGGATTATCAAGCAAAAACAACAAACTAAGGAAACCCCAGACCCCCTCCCCGCCTCTTTGAGTGCTGAGATGCAGAGTTGAATGACAAAATGGGACTGGTCTGGGTATATAATTGCAATGCAAATCAAATTTTAATTTGCCAGGAAACACATTAAGCCATGCTGTTGTAAACTTATTTGGAAGGGTTTTTTTCTCCTTTTTTTCTTCCCTGGAAAGAGAAACTCCTGATTTATTTATATTTTAATTCAATAATCAAGGAGATTATGATTTGCATTTTTAAGGTATTATATTGTAAATGCCTCAAGTAAATTATACTTGGTGTACCTAAAGTAAAATACTAGGCAGTTCTTAGTGTGTTCATTTCAAGAAAATACCGTAACAAAAATTGGGCTGCCTATACAGTCTCTAAAAGGTCAGTGGACATGTGTATAACTTTCAGCTAGGAGACAGATATCAGGTTAAATTGCGCAGTGTTTTAAAATTGTGCGTATTAAAGATACACTGTTAATGCCTGATGAGTTTGTCTTTACAATGAATATTTATTATGATATCATGATTCATAGCAAGAACTATAAAGCCAGATTACTTCACTTTGAATTTCTGTTTGGCCAAGGCCTATTGTGTAACCTTGGGCAGTTTACTTAGCCTCTGTTTCCTGATCTGTGGAATGGGAAGAAAAGCTACTGACATAATTAGGAAAACTAAATGCGTAATATTTTTAAAGTGCTGAGAACAGTGTGTAGCATTTAGTAATTACCATATATATGTTTATAAGTAAATTGATGAAATAAAAAAGATGCCAATGTGAAAAGTAGAATGGTGATTACCAAGGACTGGGCAAGGGAGGGATTCTTTAATGGGTATAGTTTCAGTTGTGTAGGTTGAAGCGTTCAGGAGTTTGGCTGTGCAGCAATGTGAATCTACTTAATTGAATTGCATACTTAGAAATGATGAATATGGGGCCAGTGCTGTGGCGTAGCGGATAGAGCTGCTGCCAGTAGTGTTGGCATCCCACATGGGTGCCTATTCGAGTTCGAGTCTCGGCTGCCATACTTCCAATCCAGTTCCCTGCTAACGTGCCTGGGAAAGCACCAGGGGATGGCCCAAGTACTTGGGTCCCTGCACCCATACAGAAGACCTGGAAAAAGATCCTGGCTCCTGGCTCCTGACTTTGGTCTGGCCCAGCCCTGGCCATTGCGGCCATTTGGGGGGTGAACTAGTAGATGGATGATCTCTCTTTCTCTCTCTGTTTGCCAATATGCAACTCTGCCTTTCAAATAAAGAAATCTTTTTTTTAAAAAAGATAAGGATGCTAAATTTTATATTACATGTATTTTGCCACAAACATTTAAAATATCAGTGTTAGTAAAGTAATATATTCGAAATCTTTAGCAGCACACAATAACCCATCTACAGTTGCTTTTACCATTGTGAAATTGCAGCTTCTGCAAGTCATCAGTAAGACTATTTATTCAGAAGATTCACGTCATTGAGATTTTTTTTAATTTTAAAGATTTAGTAATTGTTAACATTTTGCCATATTCATTTCCTATGTAGATGTATAATATACACATATACTGATTTTCTTGAAAATAGGACTATTAATATCACAAAGAGTGGGATTCATGACAATGATCATAAAGTGGGGAAAGAAGGATATATTGTCATGTACATGGTATAAGTCAGTGAAGCAATATTTAAAACTATACCAAATAATATGGAATCTGCACAATTTTTTTAAAAAAAGATTTATATTTGAAAGGCAGGGTGACAGAGGGAGAGACAGATAGAAAAATATCTTTTTTTTTTTAAAGATTTTATTTATTTGTTTGAGAGGTAGAGTTACAGACAGTGAGAGGGAGAGACAGAGAGAAAGGTCTTCCTTCTGTTGGTTCAGACCCCAGATGGCTGCAATGGCCGGAGCTGCACCAATCTGAAGCCAGGAGCCAGGTGCTTCTTCCTGGTCTCCCATGTGGGTATAGGGACCCAAGGACTTGGGCCATCTTCTCCTACTTTCCCAGGCCACAGCAGAGAGCTGGATTGGAAGAGGAGTAGCCGGGACTAGAACTCGCGCCCATGTGGGATGCTGGTGCTGCAGGTGGAGGATTAACCCACTGCACCACAGAGCCAGCCCCAGAAAAAGATCTTCTATCCTCTGATTCATTCCCCAGATGGCTGCAACAGCTGAGTCCAGCTGAATCCAGGAGCCAGGAACTCCATCCTGGCCTCCCATATGGGTGATGGGGGCCCAAGACTCGAACCATTTTCCTTTACTTTCCTAGGCATGTTACCAGGGAGTGGGATTGAAAGTGGAGCAGCCATGTCTTGAACTGGTGCTCTGATATGGGATGCTGGTGTCTCAGGAGGCAGTTTAGCTTGCTATACCACCATGCTGGCCCCACCACACAGTTTTAACTCTACATATATCAACTTGCACAAATAAGAGAAAACATGTGATATTTGTCTTTCTGGGTCTGATTTATTTTACTTAGCATAATGATTTCCAGTTCCAACCATTTTGTTATAGATGTCAGGATGTCATTCTTTTTATAGCTGAGTAATATTTCATCATGTGTATATACTACATTTTCTTTATCCAGTCATCAGTTGATGGACATATAGGTTAATTCCGTATCTTTGCTATTGTGAATTTGGCTGCTTAAAACATGGGAGTGCAGGTATCTCTTTCATATGCTGATTTAATTTTCTTTGGATAAATTCCCAGAAGTGGGATCATTGCATCATATGGTAGATCCATTTTTAGTTTTTTGAGGCATTTTTTTAAAGATTTATTTTATTTATTTGAAAGACAGAGTTACAGAGAGAGGTAGAGACAGAGAGAAGTCTTCCATCTGGTGGTTCACTCCCCAAATGGCTACAACAGCTGGAGCTGCGCTGATCCGAAGCCAGGAGCCAGGAACTTCCTCTGGGTCTCCCACATGGGTGCAGGGGCCCAAGGACTTAGGCCATCCTCTACTGCTTTCCCAGGCCATAGCAGAGAGCTGGATCAGAAGAGGAGCAGCCAGGACTAGAACCAGCACCCACATGGGATGCTGGTGCTTCAGGCCAGGGCTTTAACCCGCTGCATACTGTTTTCCATAATGGTTATACTAAGTTGCACTCCCAAGAGCAGTATATTAAGGTACCCTTTTCTTCACAACCTCACCATAATTTATTATGTTTTGATTTTGAATAAAAACCTTGTAACTGGAATGAGGTGCTACTTCATTGTGGTTTTTATTTAGCTTCTCAGATGTCTAGTGATCCTGAGCATTTTTTCTTGTGTCTATGGGGCCATTTGTATTTCTTCCTTTGAAAAATACCTATTCATATCCTTTACTCACTTCCTAGGTGGATTGTTTGCTATGTTGTTGAGTTTCTTGAGCTCTTTATATATTCTGGATGTTCATCCTTTATCAAATGCATAGGTTGTGAATATTTTCTCTCATGCTGTCAGTTGTTTCTTTGTTTTGTTAATTATTTCCTTTGCTGTGCAGAAACTTCTTAGCTTTATATAATCCCATTTGTCTATTTTATCTTTTATTGTCCCTGTTTTTGGGGTCTTACCCAAAAAGTCTTTGTCTAGACTAATGTCTTGCAGTATTTCTGTATGTTTTCTTCTAGTAGTTTGATAGCTTCAGGTCTTAAGTTTAGATGCTTGATCCATTGTGAGTTGATTTTTGTAGGGAGTGTAAGGTAGGGGTCTTGTTTCAAACTTGTGGAAATCCAGTTTTCCCTTACCATTTGTTGAGGAGACTGTCCTTTCTTCAGGGAATGTTTTTAGCATGCTTGTCAAAGATGGCTTGGTTGTAGAAGCATGGATTTATTTGTAAGGTTTCTATTCTTTCCCATTGGTCTACTTGTCTTTTATGCCAATACCATGGTGTTTTGATTATAATAGCCCTGTAGTATGTCTTGAAATCTGGCATTGTGATCAGACCATTGAGATTTATCATACAAAGCCAAATAAATAATAAATCAACACCTAAGACTCTGTGGCAGGCAGAATTCTAAAGTGTTTTCCGAGATTGCTTGCCCTAATCCATGGAAGCAGTGTGTAGGATAAGATATCACTCCCTTGATTATGTTCTGTTACATCACGTAGTTGAATTTAAGATGGGGAGATTACCTGACTGGGCCTAATCTCATCACAGGTACCCAGAAAAATGGACAGTTTTCTTTGGGAAGTCAGAGAGATTTGAAGCGTGAGAAGGATTTGGTATGTTGTTGCTGCTTTAAAGATGAAGGTGGACACTTGTGAAGGAGTTTAGATGCTTTTGAGGAATGATGGAGACCTGGAGCGGTTGCAGGTGGCCTCTGGCTGACAACTAGCGCATGAGTAAAAACCCTCAATAATGCTCCTGTATTTTGGCTCACTACTTCTACTTCTAGGAATCTATCTAAAGGCACTTATGAGAAACATTTTAAAAGTTAATGTTCAAAAATGCTCAATGTAGTGTTGTTGAAAAAAGTCAAGTATTGGGTATGACATACTAAGCAAGAATTTTCTACCATTGGTAGCCTTTTGACTAATAAACTGGTCTGGTTTCTTGGTTTCATTTACAAGTAAAAAAAAAAAAAAAGAAAGAAAAGAAAGTCAAGTAGTGGCAATAACCTAAATGCCCAACAGCAGGGGAATAGTTAAATTATTGTATCATCAAAAAGAGGGCATTGCGGCATAATGGGTTAAACGGCTGCCTGCAGTGCTGGCACCTCATATTGGTGCTGGTTCTAGTCCCAGCAGCTCCACTTCTGATGCGGCTCTCTGCTAATGGGCCTGAGAAAGCAGTGGAAGATGGTCTGAGTCCTTGGTCCCCTTCCAACCATGTGGGAGACCGGAAGAAGCTCCTGGCTTCTGGCTTTGGACCAGCCCAGCTATGGCCACTGTGGCCCTTTGGTGAATAAGCCAGTGGATGGAAGATATCTCTCTCTCTTTGTCTCTTTCTCTCTGCCCCTGCCCTTCAAATAAATAAAATAAATCTTTTAAAAAAGTAAGGTGTTAGTGCAGATATTTAAAGGGGTATTTATGAAGAAGATTAATAGTCTGGAAGAGTATTAATAGTTATTGCTAAGTGAAGGCAACACATATGTTATAGAACTGTGTCTACTATATGCTTTCAACTATGCTTTCTTAAATGTGTACAGAGGGAAAATGCTTAAAGGGTCAAAATGGGGCAGTGCTTTTTTCCCATTGGAGAATGAATAAGTATTATTTAATTTGCCTTTTGTTATTTTCTGTAGTTTCAAAATGCTGATCAATGAACTTATACTTTTTTATGGTCACTAAAGTCAATAAACATTATTATAAAAACTGTCTATGTTGTGGAGAATACAGTGAATTCAAGGCTTTCATAATGGAGATAATATAATTCCATAAATTAAATGTATGCAGAAATTGATTTAAAAAATAATATGAGAAAACAAATATTAGTGGAAAGATTAACAATAAAATTGAATAAGGTTTTTCAGTAGGGTCGTCAGTGAAAGCTTCACACTGGAAGGATCATTGAATATCAGAAGCAATGGAAAAGGAAGGAACAAAGTTGGATTTTCATTAAAAGATCTTGTTTTTCTCCTACATTAATGGATTTAAGATTTGGTTTATAGACTTCACTTCAGTTATACAAGTGAAAAACAAAGAACTGTGAAGAATATATAACTGTTCTTCCCCTCCTCCCAAAAAAAGAAAGAGAAAGAAAAAGGAAGACTCTTGCATGTTATGAGAAGGAAACCCAAGTGAACCTAGGCCAGTAACATCTGCATTAAAAAAATATTCAAAGCTACAGTTTGTTGAATATTTATCAGAGATGTGGGATGCTCTATTGCATTTCACTCTAGTGTGTAACCTTTGTGTAAGATTTAAAGTCAAGTCAAGAGGTAGGCAGGTAGATGGATACTAGCTTTAATTATTAATTTTAGAAGTCCTGATCTTGATAGGTACTTGGATAAGGTTAGACGATTTGAGCAGATTTTTTTAGGATGCCTCCGTCTCTAGACAGTTTTTAGGAACACCAGGCTACTGCTGTTCCTACTTTAATTCTCCTATTGGTTTGTTTTTCATGGTTTCAGAATGAATTTGGTATTTTCTTCATTAGGAGTTGAACTATTTTCTGTCTTCTGGTACAAGCCAAATAATTCAGAGAACTCAGTAATGAGTAAGAATATGATAAAAATGGCCACTAGCAATAAAGCCCATGCTTTATTTCATAGGATACTATAGATCATACCAGAAACTAAAGAAACTTACTTGGGTCCTTGCCCACTCATGTGGGAGATCTGGATAAAGTTCCACTTCTGGTTTTGGCCTGGCCTAGCCCTGGCTGTTACCAGCACTTGGGGAGTGAGCCAGCAGACAGACAGAAGATCGACATTCTCTCTCTCTCTCTCTCTCTCTCTCTCTCTCTGTCTCTTGCTTTGTCTTCCAGCTAAATGAAAAGAAATAAATACACTTAAAAAAATAACTTACATAATTTACTATCATGCTGACAATAAGATAAAACCTTTATTTGGTCCATGGGTGTAATTAATCTTGATGGCAGTATAACTTATGAATAAAACCAAAGTAAAAATCTAGAGCCATGGCAATGAGATGTCAGGCTTTCTGTTTTCATTAATGTTTTGTTTATTTTTCATGCACACATTAATAGCCATTTTGAGTTATATGTTTCAAATTGGACTACCCAATTATGTGCCACATTTATGAGTATGGTAGAGGTTTATTTGTCTGATTATCCTGATTAGTGTAACCAGTTTGTAACAAAGCAAAGTTGCCCTGTTCTTCAGTATCCAGTTTACTTGTAGATACTTATCTAATTGGAATATTGTTAAATATTTACTTTATAGATGTGGTTATAAATGTTGATTTTCAGTCATAGAACGAGGAACATGTCCTATAGGTTAGAAAACATCAGAATTGTAACCAACAGTTTTCAGGTTCCAGGAAACTAGCTAAATGATCTCCCTCCTTTTTTTTTTTTTTTTTTTTAAGACATATATTTGAAAGGCAAAGTAGTGACAGGGAGATTGGGAGATTGGGAGATCTTCTATCCACTTCCCAAATGATCACAACAGGGCGGGGCCAGGCCAAAGGCAAGAGCCAGAAACTCCATCTAGGTCTCCCACATGGGCGGCAGGAACTCTAATATTTGAGCCCCATCATCTGTTGTCTTCCAGGTGCTTTAGCTGGAAGTTGGATCAGAGGTAGAGTAGCTGGCACTTGAACAAACTCAGATGTGGGAGGCAGGGCTTCTCAGGTGACCGCTTAAACTTGATGTACCACAACACCTTGCCCCTCCCACAGGTTCTTGATCCATTTCTAATAGCGTTTTAATTTTTCCAAAACAGGGTTCATTGAGTTGTTGATTCAGCAAGTAAGGATTAAGCACTTTTTGTATATTGAGCAAGACAGGCACAGTTCTTGCCTTCATGAAGCTTCTAATCTAGTAGGAGCAAACAGAGTAGTAAACAGGCCCCTTTAAAATAGCATGAAAAGCTTTGTGCAGTGGCAGTATCGTAGCCAATGAGGTTTATCCGAGGTGTGATTATTGCTAATTAAAATAGCATGAAAATTATTACAATGGAGGAAATCACAGTGCAGTGGAGTGTATAACAAGACTATTCAGAATTAGAGGTGGGGGGTGGAGGAGAGTGATTTCTCAGCAAAGACCTGAAAGCTGAATTAGAATTGATTAGCTGGGATGGAATGGGGCTGAGGAGGGGAGGACATAGAGGGGACCATGGTGGTGAAGGGGATGACGGTGATAGTGGTAGAAAAAAGTGTTCCAGGCAGAGGAAACAAGGTGGTTGAGAAAGCATATGTCTGGGAAATTCTGGTTTCTGCAGATTCTTTATGGTCAGAGGTAGAATAGGATTGGGGTGGGGTGAGTGGGGGATGATAGAGGTGGAGAGTGAGATTCAGGGAATAAACCCAGGAGGGTAAGTGGCCTTGAGCTCCTTCATTCAGATGGTGTCAAGGAGTGTATTGTTTATTCAGAAAGTGACACTGTTTTAATTTTAGGAAGCCCACTTTGGTTGCAGTGTGGGATTGGAGGAGGGCAAGACTGAAAGGCAGAAGACTGGATGGCGTTGCCTAAACTCAGGCTGTGAAAGTGGAGAGAAATGGATAGATATGGCACATGTTGTAGAGGTCAGATTCGTAGGACTTGCTGATATGGAGTGATTGTGGGCGAGGGAGGCAGGAGGGCCAAGGATGATGTGCGTTTTTCTGGGTTGAATGATGATGTCCTTCACTGTATGGAGGGTGCTGGGGGGAGGGGAGGTCTGAGGGTAAGGTGAGTAGACTTTTGTGCACATTAGGAGCAAATTAGGGGTGATTGAATGTTTTTTATTCTAGAGCTCAGCAGAGAAATCTTTGGAATCTGTTCCTCGTCTGCCACATGGATCGTAGCTGAAGCCACAGGAATGAAGATGACCCTTCGGGGGAGGGTAGAAGAGGAACTGGGTAACAGGATTATGGGGAAAATAGAAGAATATTCACATTTTGGATTCAAGGCAAAGAAGGGCAGCCTGTACAGGGGAGTGAGAGGCGTATCCAGGAAGGAAGGAGAAATTCTGGAAGAGACTGTGTTGGTGGATTCATGAGGATGTGGAGTGTTCAGCAGGTCAGATACTGCTGCGTGATTGTTCAGTTCCTGGGTGCAAAGTCTCCTGAGTTTAACAACAAGGACACTGTTGGTGCTCCTTGTCTGTGAGGTTTCATCTGGAGCAGAATCAGACTGCTTCTTGAGGGGGAAATGAACGGGTGGTGAGAAATGGTATCAGAAAGTATAACGGACAGATTTCTTGAAGAAACTTAGCAGAGCTAGAGAGGAGAAAGCAAAGCTTCTTAGCTGTAGAATAACTTGAGAGGCAAAAGAGGACTTCATTTTTTCTTCTTTGAGATTCTCTTTGATCAGGCAATGCTTGCACCCCTGAATCAGTCCATTCCAAGGCCACCAGAAAGGCTGAGGCACAGTGACATCTGCTGCCTTGAACAACTCAAGAGGAAATCTTGATTAAAACTTTATCTCAGAGCTTCTGAAACTGATTGCTGTCATGACTCTTCACCAGTATGTTAGTTTATAATGTGAAAAGATCAAAGAAAATGTGGTGGCCTTTTCCTGGGAGCTATACAGGCAACTGTGGGCATCTTCTACCTGCTTAGGCATTCATAAAGCACTACATTATGACATTTTATTTGTGCCCCAGAACAACATTTGAAGGTGAGATAGGTTTCTTCACTTGCCCTATATCTGACAAAGTAACTGAAATGCAAGCTTAAATGCTTGCCCAGAATTACACTTCTGGTAGTATGGTGTGTGAAGATTGAGACATGAGTCTTCTAATGTCAGGTTGCATGGTCCAAAAGTGGTTACCCTTCACAGAGATGTTAGATATGGTGTCTGTATTTCCATTGTGTTGGTAATACAAAACCTGAGCAGGTTTCAGTAGGTTTAAGAAATTTTGTTTTGTTTGAATCCCATACACATTGATATTTGCCCCCCCCCCCCAAAAAAAAGCAGTACAGTTGGTTTTAGAAGAAGGCAGTTTATTTAAGCATGCCTTGATGGCTAAAATATATTTGAATTATCTCTAGTAACATTCAGTTTTAAATATTTTTTTAAATTCTTTTAGCAGAAACACTTGTTTGCAGGTTCTTTTAAGCAAACATTTTATAAGTGTTTCTGTTTGCTGGCTAAATGAAAAATGATGTCGTAGAGAACATTAGTAAAAGGTTTGGTCAATTAGAACTATGTAAACATTTGCAAAAGTGCTTGTTTGGCTGAAATGAAGTCACAGTTATTATATCCCTGCAAACATTCCAAGTAATGTATCCAAGATCATTTAGTTAGAGAATGACTTTTGACTGTTCAGAGACCTCTCATGTGCCATTTCCTTAGAAAACTTACAATGACACAAAAGTACTAAAGAGGTGGGTTTTTTGATAAATTAAGTATAAAGATGATAATTAGCATTTAATTCTTTGGGTCATGAGAGTAACAAATATTTAAAAATAAATTCAAGGGGTAGGTATTATGGTGCAGTGGATTAAGTACTGCTTGGGACGCCTGCAGTCCATATCTAAGAACCTGGTTCAAGTCCCAGCTCTTCCACTTCCAATCCAGCTTCTTGCTAATGCACCTGGAAGGCAGGAGATCATGGTCCAAGTACTTGGGTCATGTGGGAGACCCAGATTGAGTTCCTGGTCCATGGTGTTGCAGCTGTTTGTGGGAATCAAGGGGCAGATGGAAGCTCTCTCCATCTGTCACTCTATCTTTCAAATAAGTAAATTTAAAAACTTTAAAAAACAAAAAAACAGCAAACACTGGAGGCAAGCATTGTGGTACAGCAGATTAAGCCACTCTTTGGGACTCCCACATCCCGTGTTGGATGGAGTACCTGGATTCAAGTCCTGTCTCCACTTCCAATCCAGCTTTCTGCTGATGCATCTGGGAGGCAGCAGATGATATCCCAAGTACTCTCTGTACTCCCAAGTATAGGGAGACCTGAATGGAGTTTCTGGTTCCTGGCTTTGGCCTGGCCCAGACCCAGCTGTAGTGGGTATTTGGGAGGTAAACCAGCAGCTGGAAAATCTCTGTCTCTCTGTGTTGCTTTCTTTTTCAAACAAATGAAATAATAATAATAATAATAATAACAACAACAAGACAAAACACTTCAAATAAATAAATAAAAATGCTAAAGTTGCTGGTATTTGACACTAAAATTCAAAGCACTCTGTATGTGAAATTTGAGCCATGTTATTCTGGGGTAGTAATTGTTCTGAGTTATGATACGGGACTGTGCATTGTAGAGTCTTGTTTCCACTCACTGGCCATATTACCTTAAGCAAGTTATTCCATCTCTTTAAATCTAAGTTTCCTTCTCTGTAAAGTGATAATAATGATAGCAATTCTTTGAAAGAGTTGTTGTGAGGATTTAACAATATAATACAGGTAAAGTGGTCTTAACACAATGTCTGCTGTTTAGTAAGTATTAGCTATGACTTTCTAATCCTGAGAACTGTATTTTGTTTTGAAACATTTTATTAAATATGTTGTTCCACATTTACCATCTATTCTTCTACATTGAAGGGGTCCTCTGTTTTAAAGTTCAGTACAGTAGTAATAGTGTTCAGTGATGGGCAAATGTCTATATGCTTGTCATCCTAATGTCAGATCAAAACAGTCAAAGGACTGTGATCAACCATGACCCAGAATTCAACTCCAGAATGTTCACAAATTGCAGAATTTGTTCACAAATTGTGTAATGGTAATAGTTCATAATAAATGAAATTTAAAACCAGATTTGGAGGATAAAATGACTAAAGTTAAGTAGTTTGTACTGTTTTTTTTTTTTTTTTTGGATTGATTTATTTACTTGAGAAACAGTTACAGAGAGAGGGAGTTTACTCCCCAAATGGCTGCAATTGCCAGAGCTAAGCAGATCCGAAGCCAGAAGCCAGGAGCTTCTTCTAGGACTCCCATGCAAGTGCAGGGACCCAAGCACTTAGGTCATTTTCCACTGCCTTCTTGGGCCACTAGGAGAGAGTTAGATCAGAAGTGAAGCAGCCGGAACTTGAACTGGCACCCATATGGGATGCTGGTACCACAAGAGGATGCTTAGACGACGACTATTACTTCTACTTCCACTTCCACTTCCACTTCCACTTCCACTTCTACTTCTACTACTACTACTACTACTACTACCGGCCCGTTGTTCCTACTATTCTTATCCTTCATTCTTTGTAAAATTGTCTTCTGTCCTTTAGGATAGGCAGATTTCTCCTGCCTTCCTATGTTCATAGTTAAATAACAAAGACTTATTCTGTTATTTTGCCTTATCTTGTGCTTATCTTTGAGGGTCAGAGACAGTGTTTTGTCTGCCTTTGCTTGTTTCCTGACTAAATTGGGAAGAAGCTGATTGGTAGCAAAGGTCATTGTCAGAGATAAAGCCCAAAAGTGAGGTAGGGGTCATGGATGCAGCCATCACCACTGAGTCTCCCTGTCATTTTAAACAAGAGGTGAGTCACCTTTGCTTAGACCTTACCATCTGTCTTGTGCTGTTGGGATATGGTTTAGCAAAGACCCAGGCCCCTTTTTACCAGGTTCAAGTGCAGCAGAGAAAGAAAAACATCACTTAATTTTTTCTCATGTACACACAGTCTAAGTGCCCCTAGGAACTACTTGTGAAATATGCAAATGCATAAAATGTTTTGAAGGCTAAAGTTAAGTATTCTCCCATCTGCCACTCAGTTACATGGCCTAAGGAGTCAAACGCAACAGGAAATGAGGCAATTATTCATTTCACATGACTTTTTGATCACCCAGTAAAGGTCTCTATTAGACTGGAGAGTGTGGTCAGAGACTTGAGCAACTTGTGAGGAAGGTTTTTGCATTCCTTCCAGAGGTGCAGTTGTTGGGCCACATGGCTCACTGCTTGGGGGCTTTGTTACTTCATAATGGCAGCTTCTGCAAGAACATCGCTTCTAGGGCAGGTACAGTTGATTTTGTATGTTTCCTTTCTCTTCGATTTCTTTCAACTGAAGTCATCTCTGCATACATATCATTGTGCTTTTATTGTGTTCTGTTACTTTAGATTCTTTACTGTCTCTTGATTAGTAATGATTCCTTATTTGTTTTTGCGTAACAGCTTTTATGTACTTCTTCTAAGGCGTTTTTTGTGCTTGCTTTTGTGTGTTTCCCCACTAGCAATTAAGCTAGTTGTGAGCTGTGTTTTATGCTCCTAATACCTAACATAGTGTTTGGGTACTTGGTCCATCCTCTGTCAACTCTCATTGCGTATAAATATTTGTGGTTAGGAATGAGTTAGCCTCTAATGGGAATAATCGTTTTATATTTTATGAAGAACTTTCACATATATTACCTGCATTTGTGTTTCTCAGTTCTCTACTGTAGATGGGGCAGGCATCTGCAGTATTTACATTTTGCAGACAAGGAGGACCCAAAGGCCCTGAGTCAGCCTGACAAGCTGGATATCATTCTCTTGGAAGGCAGTGTGGGATATGAACCTTTCCCTAGTGCCAGAAACTTGTGTTTTTCCCATTGCCATGCCTCTGCCCCACTGAACAATTTTAATACTTAGTTTGAGTGGCTCATGCTTTGGATTCAACCTACTGCTTGTTTTTGTTTCTGTTAATATCAGGGCCCCTGTGAGATTTAGGGTGATTTTCAAGGTAAACTTGGGTGGCCCACAGGACGCAGTAATTAGGATTCCAGGAACTTCTTTATCTTCCCCATGGGAACTTTAACTGAAAATAGATGAGTCATCTTGGTCTCTCTTTCATCATCTTTAAAATAGTCTTACTGCTTTACTCATCTCTCTCTTTTGAGATTTTATTTAAGTATTTATTTAAAAACCTATCAAGTACTTTATAAACCAAATTATACTGTAATCCATGCATGTAAAATATTGTCAGTGAAACCAAGTGATTTTTTTTTCCTTAAGTTAGCTTGACCTTAGGAGTTCTATAAGAAAAGTGGATGAAACTCAGTCCTATGTTGGCTTTGAAAACGCAGCCCTCATCATTCAGGCTCAAGCAGATGATTCTAAACAGTTACATGAGCTGATGATCTTTCAATCTGAAGCAACTACCAGTACCCTT